AGCCACCGCCGCCACCGTCTTTACCTTCTCCAGCACAAGGTAAAGTTCGCATATTTTCTTTTTGGGTAATTGTAATATTAGATAATTAGATTATATAGGGTTTTTGTTTTACATTTGGAACTGCACCAAATTATAATACAAAACAAGGAGAGTTAAATGAAGGGCCCAATATTGCAGACCCCAATATAATTCAAGCTGTGAGTGGAAAATTTTGGGTTGTGCACAGGAAATGGAAATGAGAGCAACACAACTCGAACAATCATCATCACCGTTGTTGCTTCGATTGTCAGCATTCTGTCAATTTTCCTCTGTATTTGGATCTGTACAAGACTCAGAAAGCCGAGGGAAATTATCGAAAGTAAGTAATACTAGTTTTTTTGAAATGCACTCCTGCTGGAGAATGCCATTAATGTTACTCCCATCCCATCTATTGCTTTTGGCAGCTGTAGAAGCAGATGAAATAATCGAGGCTGAGTTTTTGCAACATGACTTAGCCACTGTTCGGGCCGCAACTAATAACTTCTGTGATGAAAATAAACTTGGACAGGGAGGATTCGGAGCAGTTTACAAGGTAATGATGTTATGAATCAGAAAAGAACATTAGTTATTGTGCATCTCGGTGTATTGAATTAGCTTGAAGTTTGGTATTTATTGAATGTTTTATACAGGGCAAGCTTCCAAATGGACAAGAAGTAGCTGTCAAAAGGTTATGTAGTGGTTCTGGACAAGGAGATTTAGAATTCAAGAATGAGGTACTCTTAGTGGCCAAACTTCAACACCGGAATTTGGTCAGACTCCTTGGTTTCTGCTTGGAAAGAGATGAAAGACTTCTCATCTACGAATTCGTGCCAAACACAAGCCTCGATCACTTCATTTTTGGTATGTGCCTTTTAGATTTTGCTCTTGATTCAGATTTCAATTCTGTTCAACAAAAATTACATTTGATGCATGTTTGAAGGGGTTTCACCTTCATGTTTTGGTCATTTGCAAAGCTCTTAATATCTTTTAAATACATATCCTAGCTATTGGTCCCCACCCCCATCCCCCACCCCTTTTTTGGTTAGTGACATACTCACATGAATTGTGAACATATAGATCCAATCAAGCGTGCACAACTAGATTGGGAAAGCCGTTCCAAGATCATCAGAGGCATAGCTCGTGGCCTCCTTTACTTGCATGAGGATTCTCACCTTCGAATAATTCATCGCGATCTCAAAGCAAGTAACATTTTATTAGATAAAGATATGAACTCTAAAATTGCAGATTTTGGCATAGCAAGGCTATTTGTAACAGATGAAACACAAGGCAATACCAGTAGAATTGCGGGAACTTAGTAAGTATCAAAAATAGGAAAACTTTGAACTATTTTTTATACAAACAGATATCCAGGTCACTCTATTCCGCATTGAGAGCATGAAAATACAAAGAATGGTTTTCTTATGTATTGCATTAAGAAAATATTAGAAGTTGAGTTTATCATTTTTTTATATTAAAAATAATCTGGTTTCCATTAATAAATATGCAGTGGATACATGGCTCCAGAGTATGCAATGTATGGGCAATTCTCAATAAAGTCAGATGTCTTCAGTTTTGGTGTGTTACTTCTAGAAATTGTTAGTGGTCAGAAAAATAATTGTTTTCAAAATGGGGAGAACGTAGAAGACCTACTAAGTTACGTAAGTATGACAATCTATACTTATTTTATGTTACTTTCTTGTCTGGTGACAGATAAAAGCTCAAATCTTAGCTGGTTCTCATTTTGATGCCTCATGCGCATATGCTTTTGTAACATTTTTCAGGCCTGGAAGAACTGGAGGGGAGAGACAGGATTAAACCTCATAGATCCAACTTTCAGGAATAGTTCAACCGCAGAAATGATGAGATGCATCCATATTGGTTTACTATGTGTTCAAGAAAATGTTGCTGACAGACCAAACATGGCTCCAGTTGTTCTCATGCTTAGTAGCAATTCAACCAGTCTCCCAATGCCCTCTCAACCTTCATTTTTTATGCACAGCATCATTGCATCAGAGATGTCATCCTCAGCTGGCAACAATTCGTCAGTATCAGACTTGAAGAAATCAAAGGAAGAACCACTCCCCTTGACAAATAATGATGTTTCAATCACAGAACTATATCCTCGATAGGTTTGGAGATTCAAAGCTACAATTAGATTTAAATTATCAACTCAGTTTAGAATAATGCTAGAATTCATTAGATGCACTGATATCTAACACTGGTTCTTTCTTATAAGCAAAACTACTTCCATGCAATGAAATTCAGTGTAGAATTTGATTCATGTACTGGTTTCCTTCTTTTATAATTTGATACTGTGTGTAATTTGGCATTGGTTTCTTTTTTGTAAGCAAAATTACTTAAATTTACTGATTCACTGTAACATTTTAGATCGTCTTGGCTTATTTGATCTCAATCAAATTGACTTGTGTAAGGTTTTCGTAAGTTTCATATATTAGAAATTATGATTGTAAACTTATTTAGTGAACAACTTCTACTTTCTAGGATACAAAGGAAAGAGAAGATGTCACAAAATCAGTTCATCAACAGTTCACAGACATATTTCCTAACACAGTAAATAAGTTGATTTATTCAACATGAAATTCAAGTTATGCAAAGAGGTGTCCACTATATATTTCTCCTCTCGCATTTCTCTGTTGTGACTCATTAGTGGTTACTACAGTCCAACAGAACAGTCAGTGGGTTACACTTCTGATCAGTGATCGAAACTTACTAAGAATAAAATAGTAACTTAATTTCTAACTTTTAATCATTTTTTCTGTTAAATCCAATTTTACAGTTTCTCTATCTCTGTGACGCGGCCCAAATTGAAGTTTCTTTCAAGATGATGACGCAGAGTACAGGGAATCCAGGTATAAAAGTCAAACAAAATTCACTTGGAAAATAAAAATTCAACATCAATAATACCTTCTTTTATTCCAAATAATTCGAAGCTTTTATACAATTCATAAGTGATGCGCTAAAAATCTATTTAAGAAGCGTATAAGTCATTTCAAATAATATAATAATAGGTAAAATATTGAACCTGTAAGGATTATTAATTAATTAAATATCAAATATAATTAATTTTAGATTTATTT